AAAAGGGCTGAGGTCCTTGGGGCTGGGGCTGGGATAAGGGGAAAAGGGTTTGGAGGAGACGTGATGGATCTGGAAGTTTCTCTTTCCTTCATTCCAAACCTGTCCTGGGAAAAAAATTAAAAAAAAAAAAAAAAAGAAATAAATAAAATAAAACGAAATAAAATAAAATAAAATAAAATAAAATAAAATATTAACACAGCCCCGTTCCCAAATCCTGTGGATTTTAAGCCCTAGTAAATCACCAGGAACGGCTCCTCCACCCCAAAATCTCCACCCTTCACCTTCCCAATTTCCCTGCCAACATCTGGATCCGATTCCCGCCGGAGTGATGACAATTCCCAATAAACGCTGCCGGAATTCCTGCCCAGTCCCTGCTCCGGGGCCGTAATTCCGGCTGGGACTGCGGCCCCTCCTCCCCCCGAGCTCAGCCTGCCCCAGCTGAGCCTTTCCAGCCGGGAATGTCCCGGGAAGGGAAGGGACGGATGGGCCTGGCTGGGCCTGGCTGGGCCTGGTTGGGCCTGGTTGGGCCTGGCTGGGCCTGGCTGGGCCTGGTTGGGCCTGGCTGGGCCTGGATGGGCCTGGTTGGGCCCATCCCTGTGCCAGGAGCTGCGGAATTGCGGAGCCATGGGGGGGTTGGTGGGAAGGAGCTGGAATTCCAGCCTGGCCCATCCAGGGACAATTCCAGCCTGGCCTATCCAGGGACAATTCCAGCCTGGCCCAGGACAATTCCAGCCTGACCCAGGACAATTCCAACCTGGCCCAGGACAATTCCAGGGACGAAGCAGGCACAGATTCCCTGGGAATTCCATCCCAGCCCATCCCAGGGAACAATTGTTGGGAATAACAGCCATTAATGGGAATTTTGAGAACACTAACGGGAATTTTGAGAACACTAACGGGAATTTTGAGAACATTAACAGGAATTTTGGGAGCACAGAGTGGGCCTGGTTGGGCCTGGCTGGGCCTGGCTGGGCCTGGTTGGGCCTGGCTGGGCCTGGATGGGCCTGGTTGGGCCCATCCCTGTGCCAGGAGCTGCGGAATTGCGGAGCCATGGGGGGGTTGGTGGGAAGGAGCTGGAATTCCAGCCTGGCCTATCCAGGGACTACTCCAGCCTGGCCCAGGACAATTCCAACCTGGCCCAGGACAATTCCAGGGACGAAGCAGGCACAGATTCCCTGGGAATTCCATCCCAGCCCATCCCAGGGAACAATTGTTGGGAATAACAGCCATTAATGGGAATTTTGAGAACACTAACGGGAATTTTGAGAACATTAACAGGAATTTTGGGAGCACAGAGCCCCCGCAGCTTCCCACAGGTCATTCCCAAACTCGTCAGGATGAGTTTTCCTGCTTTGGGAGAAGCTCATGTAGGGACAATTCCAACCTGGCCTGGGACAATTCCAGGGACGGAGCAGGCACAGATTCCCTGGGAATTCCATCCCAGCCCATCCCAGGGAACAACCGTCGGGAAAAACAATCCTAAAGGACAGCAGGGCTGATTTCCCCACTGATTCCATCCCAAACCCGGAGCCGAGGTCACGCTGAGTTCCTCCTGCCCCTGGCCCGGCTCCGGTGACAAATTGGAACACGAGCCTTTAATGAAAATCCCTGGAAACGTCAGGAAAATCCCACCCCGGAGCTGACAGGGCCCCATCTGCATCCCAGCATTCCCATAAATTCCCTAACGACACCCGACAGGAGAGCCCCGAGGGTCACAAATTGAATTTAATCCCGCCTGGATGCGGGCGAGGCGCTGTTGGTCAAATTCTGCTTTTCCTTTGGGTTTTTCCAGGGTTTTCACCCGCTCAGGGATCAGCCCTGGCCCTCGGGGTCACCTGCCACCAGGATTGGTGACATCTGCCTCCGGCGGGGATTTCGGGATTCGGGATTTCGGGATTTCAGGATTTTGGTGTTTGGGGATTTGGGGATTTGAGGATTTGGGGTTTGGGGATTTGAGCATTTGAGGATTTCAAGATTTTGGGATTCAGGATTTTGGGACTTCGGGATTCAGGATTTCAGGATTTTGGGATTCAGGATTTTGGGATTTCAAGATTTTTGGATTCAGGATTTTGGGATTTCAGGATTCAGGATTTCGGGATTTCAGGATTTTGGGACTTCAGGATTCAGGATTTCGGAATTTCAGGATTTTGGGATTCAGGATTTCGGGATTTCGGGATTCAGGATTTGAGGATTTCAGGATTTCGGGATTTCAGGATTTTGAGATTCAGGATTTGGGGATTTGAGGATTTCAGGATTCAGCATTTCAGGATTTGGGGATTTTTGGATTTTGGGATTTCAGGATTTTTGGACAGACTGGGGACAGGAACTGCCGTCCTTGGAGCTGCCATGGGAAGATTCCTGGAATCCTGGGAATCTTCCAAGCAGGGAATGGGGCTGAACCCGGCAGGTTTGGGACAGACTGGGGACAGGAATTTCCCCTGCTTGGGGACAATCCCCCCTTAATCCCTCTCCAGGCTGCCCGGACCCTTCGGTAAATCCATCCCCTGGCTTTTCCAGGCACAGCAAACCCTGGCGAGCGGCAAGAGGCGGCTCCAGGACGGATAAACCCGGGCTGAGCCCGCCCGGAACGGCGCCGGGGCTTCGGGAGCAGCGGGAATCCTCCTCGGAGCGGCTCCAGCGCCACCCGAGCGGTGACAAATGGGAGGTGACAGCTCATTCTGCCCGTGTCACTTTGTCCGTCTCGCTCGCTGCCTCCGCCGCCGAGCTCGGCTTTGTGTCCCGCTCAGCAGAGCGCGGATCCAAGCGGGAAAAGCCCGGCCTAACCCAGCCCCACCCGCCCCGTTCCTCTTCCCGCAGGATTTGGGGATCCCGGCATGGATAACTGCGCTCCGCCCATGGCTTCCACCGACCCTTTTGGGGTTAAATTTATCCCAAATGGGAATTCCCGCCCCCAAGCGTGCCCAGAACATTCCACAGCTCCTCCTCGACACCTCCCTGCCAAATCCAGGCGTTTCAGGGGCTGGAATTTCCTGGGATGCGGTGGATTCCTGGCAGAGCTTCCAGGAAGGAAAGGAAAACAGAGATGGCAGAGATGGAGATCTCTGCTCCTGAGCCATCGATTTGTGCTCTCCGAGAGCTCCTGAGTGAAATTCCCACAGGAGATTCCCTCCAGAGCACCTGGAAAAACCTGGGAAGGGGCTGGAGATGGGCTGGGATTCCTTCCTTCCTTCCTTCCTTCCTTCCTTCCTTCCTTCCTTCCTTCCTTCCTTCCTTCCTTCCTTCCTTCCTTCCTTCCCCCCTCAATATTCCCATTTTCCCCCTGACATTCCCAATATTCCTGACTGGAGAAGGGTTCTGCCTCTCCCATTTTCCCCCAGCTCCGTTTCCATGGTAACGCCCAATCCCGCATCCGTTTCCCTGGAAATTGGATTTCCAAAGGATGCCGGCAGGGCTGCGGGACCTGGGAGGATCCAGGTGGGAATTTTCTCCAGTGGGGAGGAGGTTTTGAATCCAGAATCCCCAAATTTGGGATGCTGCAGGACAAGGATGGTACCAGACCCCCCCTTCTCTTTCCCAGCTGATCCCAATTCCAAATTTGCGACCGTTCCAAAATCCAAAAATTGAAGTGGTGAGAAAAAGGGAAGGGAAGAGCAAAAAGAAGGGAAAAAAAAAAAAAAGTAATTTCCCTGGAAATTGGGCAAATCCCTTTTCCTGAGACCCTTACTGTGATATTTTTATTCTCTGTTATTTTTTGTTTCCTGGCTCTAATTCCCAGCTCAGCAGATCCTACCTGGCCAAGGAGATTTGAGGAGCAGGTGTTGGCAGGGAAAAATCCACATTTTGCCCCCAAAAATGGTTTGAGGCCCCAAAAAGATCGGAGGGGCAGCTCCTGTGATATTTTGATTTTCCATCTCCTGCTCAGGGCCCCCGAGCTGCGTTTCCTGTGCTTTGAGGCCTCAGCATCCGCTGCAAAAGTTCCATTTTGGGGCCGTTTCGGTCCTAAAACCGAGCTCGTGCAGCAGCTGAGCTGAGCCTAACAAGGCTGAAGGGGGAGGGGCGAGAGCTGAGTTTAAAATCTGAGCCAGAAACGGTTAAAACGGGCTGGGAAATGCTGGATGTGAAAGTCCCTGCTTTGGAAATGACGTGGCGGCCACAGCTCCGAGGTTTCGGGTCCCAGATCTGGAGAATCCCCTGGTGCTCCTTTTGTCCCCAAACCAAAGTCCCAAAATCCCAAAATCCAGCAGGGAGTTTTCCAGGAAATCCATAAAATTCCCCTCTTTGAAAAATGGGATTTATGAGGAACTGGCCCTGGAGATCCCAACCCAAAATGGCTCCAAAAGAACCCTGGAGCTGCTTTGGGGTTTCTCCTTTGGCTCCAGGACCCCAAATTCCGAGCCCAAAGACTCGGGATCCTTCTGGCACCTGCTCCGTGTCTGGTTTGTGCTGAGAAATGAAAAAAAAATTAGAATTTTTTCCTTTATTTCTCAAAAAAGGGGGGCCCAAACCACCCGGGAGCACCTGGATGAGCGGCTCCAGATTTCCAGGAGTATTTCCATGTGGAAATTTCCAAATTCCCAGGAATATTTTCCATATTTCCAGGAGTATTTTCCATATTTCCATGTGGAAAACTCCAAATTTCCAGGAGTTTTTCCATCTTTTCCCCATCCCAGGCAATTATTTTCCCAACCCGACCTCTTTTCCATGCAGAAAATGGGAAAATTTCATCCCAGAACATCCCCCTTTTTTCCCCATGGGAATTTTTGTGGGGGAAAACCTGGGAAAATCCCAATTTTGGGGGCAGGAACAGCCCGGGGAGGCTCCAGGTGAGGTCCGGGAGGAAATTCCAGCTGGGAATTCCGGGTGGAGCTCCTTGGCCGGAGCTCAGCTTTTCCCACCTGGAGTTTTTGGGATCACCCAGGACGGCTCGGAACGATCCCGGGGATCTGCTGGGGTGTAAAAGGAGGAGGAACCCAAACCCCAAAGGTTCCTCCTCCTCAGTTTTGGGGTGTCCCCGCCCTCGCGGCTTCCTCCCCGTCACCCCACAGCGATCGCGGCCCCGGGGGAGGGGATCCCGAAGATCACAGAGGATCCCATGGATGCCCCGATCCCACAGGAGATCCAGGGGCTCCTGGAAGGTAACGGATCCCTCCTCACCCCCTTCCTGCCCCGCAGGGATGTCCTGCTGTGGGGCGGAGCCGGGGAGGGTTTGGGGGGGCGTTTTTTGGGGTGCTTTGGGGTCTTCGGGGGTTATGGGGCCTCCCTGGCCCTGCCCCCGAGGAGAATTTGGGGCGTGGTGGGAATTCCCAGACCCCGAGGAGAATTTGGGGACTTTGGGGTCTCCCTGTCCCCAACCGCCAACATTTGGGGGCTTTGGGGCCTCCCTGACCCTGACCCCGAGGAGAATTTGGGGAGTGGTGGGGCCTCCCTGTCCCTGACCCCAAAAATGTGGGGGCTGTGGACCCCAAACTTGGTGCTGAGGAAGCAGCTGGGATCACTTTTGGTGGTTTTTGGGGTTTCAGCTCTCATTTCCTGCCGTGGCAGCACTGAGCTCATCCCTCTTCCTCCAAAACACCCCAAAACCTCATCCCTCCCCTCCAAAACCCCCCAAAACCTCATCCCTCCCATGTATCCCTGATTTACCTGGCCATTCCCAGATTTCTGGACCCTTCCCCTCTTCCTTGCCCCTTCCCACACTGGCTTTTCCTCTCCAAGCCCGCGTGTCCCTGATTTTCCTGACCCTTCCCAGATTTCCTGACCCTTCCCAGGCCCAGGTTTCTTTCCCAGGCCTAGACTTCCTAAACCCTTTCCCAGATCCAGATTTCCTAAACCCCTTCCCAGATTCCATGATTTTCCCTTTCCCATTCCCAGATTTCTTGAACCCTTTCCCATTCCCACATTTCCTGATTTTCCTTTTCCCATTCCCACATTTCCTTGCCCCTTCCCCTCTTCCTTGCCCCTTCCTACGGCCGCTTTCCCTCTCCAAGGCCGCGTATCCCTGATTTTCCCTTTCCCATTCCCACATTTCCTGATTTTCCTTTTCCCATTCCCACATTTCCTTGCCCCTTCCCACGGCCGCTTTCCCTCTCCAAGGCCGCGTATCCCTGATTTTCCCTTTCCCATTCCCACATTTCCTGAACCCTTTCCCCTTCCCAGATTCCCTGATTTTCCCTTTCCCATTCCCAGATTCCCTGATTTTCCCATTCCCATTCCCTGTTTTGCAGAGGCCGAGGATTTCCTAAGCCGGGCTTTGCAGGAGGAGCCGCTCAGCGCGCGGGCGCGGGAGCGGCGCGACGCCATCCTCCGCTCCTTCCAGCGCCTCGGAGCCAGGTGGGTTCTCCTGCCTTTCCCGCTCCAAACCTCCGGAATTCCGGCACATTCTGGGCATTCCTCCTTCTGCAGGAATTCTCCCGTGGTTTGGGATTTTGTGGATATTCCAGACTCAGGATAATGGGGGAATTGTTGCTTTGGCTGGATTTTCTCTGGTTTAGGATGGGGATTTTCCCCCTCTTTTTTTAAGGAAGGAGTTCTGGGATATTCCTTATTTATTCCCTATTTTCAGATGAGGATTCTCCTCCTTTTTTAAGGAAGGAATTCTGGGATATTCTGGATTAATTCCCTAATTTCAGGATGGGGACTTTCCTCCCCTTTTTTAGGGAAAAAATTCTCGGATATTCCTGCTTCATTCCGGATGGAGATTTTCTTCCCTCTTTTTCTTTTAAGGAAGGAATTTCTCATATTAATCCAAATTAAATTAATCCCATTTTCACCTCCTTTTATCCCTGAGCTCGCTCCCACCACTAATTCCGTTTGGAGCCTTCTGGGTTGTTCCTTTCCGGAATTTTCCAGCCTTTCCCAGCCCGGCTGATGGAATTATCCCAATTTTCCCATCCATTTCCTCCTGGATCCCTCATTAACCTGAAACCTGAGAGCCTCAAGTGAGCTGAAAAATGAATTTAAATCCGTTTCTCCCCTAATGGGGAATTCCCAATTCCATTTTCTCGGCTCCCATTTTTTTTTTTCTCTATTGGAAATCTCGTCCAGCATCGATTTTTAAAAAATATTTATTTACCCAGACATTTAAATCCTGGCTCCAAAGATTCCACTCCACCCCTTCCCTTGAGAATATTTAATTAATTAATGAGGAAAACCTGGGAATTTGATTGGAAGCTACCTGGATTTTATGGATCCGGCTCAGAGGGTTTGAATTTTGGGATTTTCCAGCTGCTCAAATCCTGTTGAACCCAAATTTTTGCATTTTTTGGGTGTTGCAGGCCTAAGAATCCAAGAATATACTGGAAAAACAGGATTTAGGATGAAGTTTTCTGCAGGAAGGGGTCGGGGAAACACCAAATTTAGGGGAAAATATTGGGAAAAGGGCAAAATTCTGTGGGGGAACTTCCTGGAAATCCAAGGGCTCCCAAAATCCATAATTTATGGGATTTATCCAAGATTTCTGTTGGCAGAGGCAGAAATGAGCTCATGACTCTTCCACATTCCCAAAAAATTTCTCCTCCCCTTGTTCCTAACTCCATTTTATCCCAAAATTTTCCTTCCCAGAGTAAAAATGATCCAACCATGGAATTAAAACCAAATCCTTGAGCTGAAATCAGATTTTTTTTTTTTATTGCTGGTTTTTTATCCTAAAAAATGAAAAAAAAGCAGGAAAATCCAAGCTTTTTTTGGCGTTTTCCATCTGCCTCCCCGGAGCTGCTCCGGGAGGGAACGGAACTCAATTTTCCCATTTTTTTTAGGCCATTTCCTGGGATTAAAAATGACAGAGGTCGGGAACAAAGCCCCGGTGCTTTCACGGAGCGGGAATTGCGAGTGACAGAAAATCATTCAGGAAATGTTGGCGCTAAAACGTGGCCGGGAAAAGCGTCTGAGGCAAAAATTCCCGGAAAGAAAAGAAAAAAAAAAGGGGATTTTTGCTGCTCTTCTTTGTCCAGGAGGCAGAAATATCCTGAATTTTGGGAAAGTTGGATTTTTTGGAATGGAGGGATCTCTTAGAGATGATGTTTTTCTGCTTAAATGATGGATAATTGGGATTTTCCATGGAAATGTTGGAATTTAAAGATAAAATATGGGGCAAAAAAGCTGGAGCTGCTTTTCCGTTTGCCCTCATGTGGGGCTGGATTTTGAGGATTTTGGGATAAAATGGAGCAGCCACAGGATGGAGAAAAAATTCCTTGTGGAATTGGAGACCCAACCCCAAAAGCATCCCGAAAAATTCCCAGTTTTTCCTCCAAAAGGCTCTTCCCACCCAATATTCTGGGAAATTTTCTCCCTGCAACCAGAGCTCATCTTGGAATGGGCACTTTGTACTTTACTCCCAACCCTCGGTGGGATTCCCAAATTTCCTGGCGCCATTCCTGGATTAAAATGATTCCTAAGATTTTCCTGAAGTGGGAGAGAGGAATAAATCCTGATTTTTTTATATTAAACCTTTTGTTTTTGTTTTTGTGGGGGGAATGGGCAGAGCGTGGATCACCCTCCACTTCCATGAGCTCAGCAAAAAATCCTGGAATATTTTGGGGTTGGAAGTGGTGACTTTTAAAGGATTTGAGGGGAAAAAGGTGGCAGGAATTTTTGTGTTTGGAGAAGGATCTGTTCCAAGGGATGGAAATCCATGGAATTCGGGTTGGGAAGGGCTTAAATCCCATCCATTCCCAGTTCTTCAGGGCTGGCCCATCAGAATTCCTCCTGGAATTCCTCATGTTTCCCATTCCCCATTTTCCCAGATCTTCCCATCCATCCCTCATTCTTCAGGCTGGAATAATCCTGGAGGAAAATCTGGGATTTTATGGCTCTTTTTCCATTTGGTTTTTCAGGTACCACCTGGAATTCCCATCCCGAGGTGAGTCCAGCTGGGAAGGGTTGGAGCGGGGGATGTTCCGTGCGCCAAATTCCCAGGAAAAAGTCTTTATGGATGTGGGGGGCAGGTCTTGGGGTGGGAAAATTCCTCACCAGGAATCTCATCCCGGAGAACAAATCCCACAATTTCTGGGGCGCTGGCATCGATTCCCAGGCTGAGAAGTTTTCCAGAAACTCCAGGAATTTAGGAATGTTTGGGAAGCTTCGAAAGGGCAGGATATTCCCATGGAGAATTGATTGGGAGAAAAGATTCTGGGGGGGTCCCTCAACTTCCCTGAGCTTGGAGTGGGAGCAGAGTCCAGGATCAGGATGGGAATTTTCCGGGAATGACCATTCCTTGTTAAAAATTCAGGAAATTTTGGCTTTGCTCCTCAATTTCTCCATCGTGGGAGTGAGGATTTGAACTTCCTGGGATTCCTGAGGATCAGCAGGAGGGAATTCTGGATCTCTGGGAAATTGGTGGGTGTGGGGCCTCTCAGAGCTGAGCTGGAGCTCCTTCGGCTCTGCTGGATCCAGGGATGGAATTCCCGATTCAGCGCCTTGGGAGCAGCACAGGGATTGGTGGATTTGTGGTTTTTCCTTAAAAAATGGTTGGTATCCATGGGGATCTCCCAGAGTTACACCAAGGTGGGAGCTACTGGAATAAATCCCTTTCCAGCATTCCAACTCCTCCAATCCTTTACTCCAGGAATTAAACCCGTTCCCAGCATTCCAATTCCTCTGATCCTTTATTCCAGGAATAAAATCCCTTCCTGGCATTCCGGCTCCTCCAGTCCTTTACTCCAGGAATAAATCCCTTCCCAGCATTCCGGCTCCTCTGATCCCTCTTTTCCCCAGGAATAAATTCCAGCGGTTCCCTGCCTGCTCAGGGCTCGCTTCCAGCCCCTCCTGGAACGGCCAGGAACGCAGCAGCCTCGCAATTCCCGCCGGGAACGGCGATACCCCGTTTCAATCAGAGCCTCGGAGCTTTAATTGCTTCCCAAGCATTGTTTCCCCATGAATCCAGCATCTGGCACCCTTTGGAAAAGTCCAACGGACAGCTGGGCCGAAAATTAACAAAAAAATAGGAGGGAGGGAAGATCCGAGCGCATCAAAGGCTCCAAATGAGGTTTTTAAACCAGGAAGGTTCGTGGAATTTCAAGGATGGAGGAGGAGGGAGCCTTTTGTTCCTTGGAATATTCTTTTGATGGAGTTGGGAGCTGAAGGAAAAGTAGGAAAATCGGGATATGGAAGCGGGCAGGGATTTGAAGAGGAGAGAGCTTGCTTCGAATTCCTGCTGCATCCACTGGGAATTTAGGGGGAATGAGTCCTTGGAGTGCTCAGGGAACACCTGGCCAGGTATCCCAAGGGAAATTGGGAAAATGGGAAAACCACGGTCACATTTTCCATCTCTGAGGGTCTGCGAGGAGAGGTTACAGTCACCTGAGTTCCTGAGCGTCAAAAAATCAGGGAGTCAAGGAATGGTTTGGGTTGGAAGGAGCTTTTGGAAAGCAACGACTTTCCCCTTTATTTTGTAAAAAAAACCAACAAACCCAAGTAGGTGAATAAACCCAGATTTATTTGCACGGAGCTGATGACGACGCTTTTATTTTTCCGTCCAAAATTAATCCCAAATGGCTTTCCCTGAACTGCTGATCAGCAGAATTCCTTAAAATATTCATAAATAGTCAAAACATTCAGGAGAGGGAGGAAGGCTCTTCCATTTTTATGAAATTTGAGAAAATTGAGGCTCAAAAAATGTGCGTCGGCAGGGGTTGGACCCAGAACTCCTGCTTGTCCCAGCTCCGTGCCTTAACCCCAGAAAATTCTGACTTCCTGGAGTCAGGAATAATCAAAAGAAGAGGGATGAATTGTGATTTAAAAACTGGGAGCTTTGTTAATTAAAACGATTCATTAACAAAGAAAAAATTGGACTAGGCCCTTAGGCCTCAGTAGGCCTCAGTAGGCCTCACCTCATCGTAGGCCCAGTTTAGGCGATATTTTATCAATTTTTGGTCTCATTTTTTGGTGTAACTTTTTTGGAATAATTTTGTGGGATCATTTGATTCCCTTTTATCCATTTTCTGATCCCTTTTTTTCACTCTGCCTCAGAATAAAACCCCATCCTGCTGGAGTCGTGGCGGAGCCGCCACCACGTCCATCCCCGTCCTCTCCCTTCAGGAGCAACATCCCAAAAAAACCCCAAACCCAGACCTTTGCAACCTTTTTTCATCTAAAACCCCAAATCCACAGAGCTGCAGCTGCCTAGGAGCCGGAACTTCGCGTTTCCCCAACCCTCTCCCCGCCACGGCCTTTTTGCTGCATGTAGTTATGACAAGGCCAAGTAGCAAATCATTAAAACAACAAAAAAACCCCAAAATTCCTTTTTTTGCTGCAAAGATTCCCTTTGAAGCCGATCCGGAGTGTCTGGGAATTAATGGAGTGCTGGGTGATTTTAGGAAGTTTTATTTATAAAAAACCCTTTTTGCCTCATGCCGGGAGGCTCCGGCTTTGCTGAGCTGGGCTCAGGCTCCCAAACCCGGCTTAGATTTATGAAGTGTTTGGGGAAAAGCAGGAAAAAACTTTTGGGATTGACGAGATTTGGAAGGCGTTGTTCAAATCTCCGGCCCTGGAATTCCCCTGTTTATAAACACCGAAACTCCGGCTCGGGAGATGTCAAAACACAGGGGAGATGGAAAGAAAACAAAATCATTTTTACAATTATATGTATTAGATACATTCTATATTATATATATAAAAATATATTTTAAATTATATAGAAATATATAATGTATTTTATGTATAATAAAAATATGATACATAATATTAAAATTAGATCTATTATATAGATAAAATATTATATATAAATATAATATATTCTATGTATATAGAATTATTTATTCAGCATAGAATCATTAATTATTGTCCCCTCTGTAGAATTATTAATTAATTATTAGCCTAGAATTCTGCCAAATTACTAATTAATTATTTCCCAGCTTCACTTGGAGTTTTATAGAATTATTAATTAATTATTCCCCAGTTTTGACTGCAATTCTGCCCAATTATTAATTAATTATTGCTTCACTCGGAGTTTTATAGAATTATTTATTAATTATTTCCTGTTCTGTAGAATTATTTTGGTAGGATGCCTTGTGAAGGCCCCAAGTTTGGGAGGAGCAGCAGTAAATTAATTAATTAATTAATTAACCTTACCTGAGATTCCTCCCAATGGGAACAGCCCCTCCTGCTTCCCAAAAAAAAACCAGGAAAAAGGATTAATAATTTCCAGGTTATTCCCCATTTTTGTATCCAGGAATTTTCTCCACCCTGGGACAAGGAATAATTTAACCCTTGAGCTGCTGAATTTGCTTTGCGATTATTCTCCACATCCCAAAACTTCAGCTTTTCCTGTTTATTCCACCCTAAACTCCGACCCGCCGCAGGATTGCCAAGATCGGAATATTTGAAATTATCCCCCCCTCCATGAGCCCAAAATCCTCCGTTTTTCCTCCCCATCCTTGCTAGCTCACGGTATTCCCAAGAAATTCCATGTTTTTATCCATTCCTGGCATTATTCCTTGCCGGTTTTGGATATTCCCAAGAAATTCCATGTTTTTCCGTGCCTGGGGGAGGGGATGGCAGTGAAATTCCAGCAGCGCATTCCCGGCTGCTGCTGCCTTGCAGCCCGACCTGCTGGGCGCTGGCAATCACTGCAAGCTCCAGCAGCTCCAGCCCAAAAAAAATAATCCGGGAAAAGCCTCGATCCCAAAGAGTTTTCCCTTTTCTCGGCATTTTTAGGGCGCCGGGAGTTCGCTTTATTACGTGTAATTAACAAAACAAAACAAAACAAAAAAACAAATAAAGCCAAAAAAATGAAAAAAATAAAGAAAAAAAGAGAAAATGAGGCTTGGAGCAGATTCCATGTCCAGCAGCTCGGGGTGGAAATTTGGAAAATTTGGGAAATCGGCTCGTTATGGATATGGGGAGGAATTTCTGGGATTTCTGGGTGAGATCGCATCCCGAAAAAAAAATGATGGTGGAACGATTTGGTTTTTTTGGGGGGATGATTGTGGTGGGGTAAGCTGGGGATGGATGGAATGGAAAAACAGGGTTTAAAGGCAAAAAATTAGGATTTTAAGGTAAAAAAATTTGGATTTTGAGGTAAAAAAGTAGGGATTTCACTTCCGCTCCTCATAAAATCCCACCTGGAGCTCTCCTGGCATTGATTTTTCCTGGGATTTAAGAGATGTTTAATGAAGCTCTGGGTACCTGATCAAGCCAAGGAAATTTAATTGCAATTCCCATAAAAAGCTGCGGGAAATGAAGGGTTTTTCCTGTCATCCATGGAAATTGTTTGTTTTTTCCTGGGATTCATTAATTCCCTTTTTTTTATCCCTCCATGGGAAGCAGCAAATCAGAATTTTTTAATGGAAAAAGTGGATTAAAAGCATGAGAAATCCTCAGGATGCAAATCCAAATGGAAAAATGATGGGATTGGCTTTTTACGGAGCAAGGGCTGTGGGATTTTGGGTCGCTCCTGAAGGAATATTTCGGAATATTGCAGAATATTCCGGAATATTCTCGGCGTTAAGGAAAACGAAGCAGCTCCATTTCCATGGATTTGAGCAGAGCTTGGAACCACCCCTAAAAATGGGAATTATTGATGCTGGATCGTTTTATCGTCCCACTTTTTTACTTTTACGATTCCCGTTTTTTCCCTAAAAATGGGAATTATTGATGTAGAATCGTTTTATCGTCCCATCTTGATTTGGAAAACGCCGGAGGAGCAGCCGGAAATTCCTTTTTGGGGCTGTTTGGAGGGCGTTGAGTGAGGAGCAGCTGCCCCCGCTCCCTTATCGGCCCCGGCCCCGCGCGCTTGGTCCAGAACAAATATTGAATTAAAAACCTTTTAATGTTGGATTTAAAACCTTTTAATAGCGAATTAGAAATCTTTTATCGCTGCTGGGTTTTCGTGAAAAGCCATCTCAGCACCTGGCACTGAGCGGCCTCTCCAGAAAATCCAAGAGCAGCAGGAAAATTCCCTGGAAAATTCAATATAAGGTTAATTTCAGGGGTGGAAAGATCCTTTCCACACCCTGATTGGGTAATTTGTTTGTAGGAAATCCATGGTTTTGTCCTTTTTCCCTTATAATTTGTGCAGAGAATTAATGTTTTTATCCTTTTTCCTGTACATTTGTGTAGGGAATCCATGTTTTTATCCTTTTCCCTGTAAATTTATGTAGGAAATTAATGGTTTTATCCTTTTTCCCTCTCCTGAAGGATTTCCAAGCTCTTCTTCCCTAAAATCCTGGGAAATTCCCCGTTTTAGTGTAAATCTTTATTTTACAAGTGGATTTATGAGAAGGTCACAGCCTGAGGACAGGCCAAGAATTTGGATTTGCCTCTGGAATTTTGGCGTTCCCAGGTTTTTCCAGCAGGAATTCCCTGCCTTGACCCTAAAACCCCTGAAATCCCACAAAAATCAGTTTGGATTTTGGAGGGAACCAGGAGGAAACTGGGATATTTGGGGTTAGGAATTCCTAAATTCCCAAAAATTTTCCCAAAATTCAACCTCTCCTCATCACCCCCATCCAGGAGGGGACGAGCATGACGGACATGACGGCTCCGAGGAAAATCCCAGCTGGAATTTTGGCCCTTCCCGGATTTCTCCGGCCTCGTTCCCGACAGAATTCCAGGATGAGGGTGAGTCCTGATTTTTTGGGAATTCTGTTGTGGAAAATTTCTTGGAATTCTGGAATGTCGCTGAAGTGTCTTGGAATTGTTGGGATTTTATCTTCTGGAGAAGATCAAAGATAAACCCGGAATCCTTTGGTTTTCCATCCATCCCATAATTCAGGAGGGGATTTTGGGGGTTTTTAGCACCTCGTCCGTTCCCACGAAATGTGAAAATTCCGGATAATATTCCTGAAATTCCAGCTATTCCTCGCCTACCTTGCTGCTGGTTTCTTTGGGATTGATCGTGTGGCTTTTCCCACCTTCCCGAATTCCCAAATTTATTAAATCCTGCTTTTCACTGGAGCAGGTTGGATTTGGGATGGCGCTCTCCCAAAAAAACCCTGGAATTTGGGAGCTGGAGAAGTTTGGATTGGGGAAAATCCCCTGGGACAGGATTTTCCTGGCTTGGATTCCTCCTGGGAATCGATCCCTTGGGATATTGATCAATCCCTTGGGAATTGATCAATCCCTTGGGATGTCAATCAATCCCTTTGGACACTGATTTATCCTATTGGTTATTGATTGATCCCTTTGGATATTCCTCTGTTTCCTTTGGATATTGATTTGTCCTTGTGGATATTGATCAACCCCTTTGGATATTGATATATCCCTTTGCATATTGATTTATCACTTGGGATATTGATCGATCCCTTTGGATATCCCTTTGTTTCCTTTCAATATTGATTAATCCCGTTGGATATGGTTTTATCCCTTGGGATATTGATCGGCCCCTTGGGATATTGATCTCCATCCCTTTGGACATTCCTTTATTCCCGTTGCTCAGTGGAGATCGGGGTGTGTCTGTGTTTATTGGGGGATTTTTGGGGCTCTCCGTGGATATTGGGGTGTGCCCGGAGGTGTCACTGGATCTCCGGTGTCCATGTGTCTCGGGGGACATTTTGGGGTACCAGTGGATTTTTGGGGCTGTCAGGGAATATTTGGGGTGTCCGTGTGTCTGGGGGGCGGGGGTTCTTCTGTGTCTGTTAGGGGCTCTTTGGGGTTATTTGCATGATTTGGGGCTATTTGCATGATTTGGGGTTATTTGCATAATTTGGGGCTATTTGCATGATTTGGGGCTATTTGTGTGATTTGGGGTTACTCAGCGGTACCTGCCTGTGGCTGTCGGGGTCTGTTCAGGTGGATTTGGGATTTTTTTGATCCATCGGGGTCTATTTGGTGCATTTGGGGCTATTTTTGTGTATTTAGGATCTATTTGGCGTTATTTTTGTGTTTTTTAGGGTCAGTTTGTGGTTATTTTGGTGTTTTTAGGGTCTAATCCGGGTTATTTCGGTGTATTTAGGATCTGTTTGGGGTTATTTGGTGTATTTAGGGTTTATTTGGTGGTTTTAGGGTCTGTTTGGGGTTATTTGGTGGTTTTGGGTTTATGGGGGGGGTCCCGCGGTCTCCCCGGGCGCGGTGGCGACTCCGGAATTCTGCAGCGCCCCCGTGTGGGGCCGGCCGGGAGCGCGCGGGGTCGGGAGCGCGCCCGGGAACGCGCACTGGGATCGGGCCTTGGGAACGGGAACGGGCCTTGGGAACGGGCCTTGGGAATGGGAATGGACTTTGGAACGGGAACGGACATTGGGAACGGCAATGGGCTTTGGGAACGGGAATGGGCCTTGGGAACAGGCCTTGGGAATGGGATCGGGGCTTGGGAACAGGAACAGGCTTTGGGAATAGGAACGGGCCTTGGGAACTGGATCGGGCTTTGGGAAGAGGCCTTGGGAATGGGAATGGGCCTTGGGAACGGGAATGGGCCTTGGGAACAGGCCTTGGGAAGGGGGTCTGGGAACGCTCCTGGCCGGGATCACGCGCAGGTGCTGCTTTGTCCTCTCATTTTATCCCCAAACCCCATCAAAGAACCCAAACCCAGCCCCCAAATCCTCCCTCAAACCCCAAATCCTCCAAAAACACATCCCAAACCAATCCCATCCCACAAACACATCCCAAATAAACCCATCCCACCCCAGAGACATGTCCCATGCATCGGGACTGATTTGGGCTCAGAACTGATGATTTGGGGTTGGGATTGGTGATTTTGGCTCAGGATTGATTGGGGGTCGGGATCGATTTGGGGTCAGGTTTTCCCCCTCACTGTGGCACCTTCCCAGCCAGCACCCGCTGGGTTTGGGCAGTTTTTTGGATTTTCCCTCCTTTTCCTGGCCTGGATAATCCCAAAGAACCTTCAGCTGCCCCAAGAGGTGCGGGAGGGAAGGACTGAGCTGGATTTAGGGAATTTTGTCCTTTGGATCCCGTTTATCCATTGGATGCTGTTGTGGGGTCTGGGTGGTTTGAACTCAGAAACCCCAGAACGGTTTGGGGTGGGAAAAACCCTAAAAATCCCCCAATTCCAACCCCGTGCCATGGACAGGGATATCTCCCACCGGAGACAACCATCCCAAATCCCCCAAACACCTCCTGATTAATTAATTAATCATTAATTCATTCATTCATTAATCAGTTGAAGGGAGCTGCTCTGGCCTTGCCCCGCAGAGGATCAAAGCCACAAAAACCCAAAAAAATCCCCTGGAATTTGGGGGAGAAACGGGAAGTTTATTTTAACTGGGAACTGATGGCTTTTGGGATTATTCCAGCCCTGATTTTGGGGCCGGGAGGCACCGGAAGCCAGGGAGGAGCAAATTTAGGGCAGGGGAAGTCCCGGTGCTCTCTGAACTCCTTCCAAAACCGGGGAAGAGCTGCGGAATTCCCGATAAACACCTGATGCATGGGGTGTGCGGGAAGGGCGCGATGGGAGAGGGCTGGAGCGGCCACGGGGCCGGTGTCAGCCTTAAAAACCCTTCAAACCCTTCCAAACCCTCGGAAATATCCTTGGAAATGGTTCAAAACTCTCTAAAACCCTTCAAAAACCTTTTAAACCCTTTAAAATCCTTTAAAATAGTACAAAACTCTCTAAAACCCTTCAAAAACCTTAAAAACCTTTTAAAATATTTCAAAACTCTCTAAAACCGTTTAAACCCTTCGAAACCCTCAAAAATATCCTTGGAAATGGTTCAAAACTCCCTAAAACACTTCAACCGGGGAAGAGCTGCGGAATTCCCGATAAACACCTGATGCATGGGGTGTGCGGGAAGGGCGCGATGGGAGAGGGCTGGAGCAGCCACGGGGCCGGTGTCAGCCTTAAAAACCCTTCAAACCCTTCCAAACCCTCGGAAATATCCTTGGAAATGGTTCAAAACTCCCTAAAACCCTTCAAAAGCCTTTAAAAGCCTTTAAAATCCTTTAAAATAGTACAAAACTCTCTAAAATACTTCAAAAACCTTAAAAACCCTTTAAAATATTTCAAAACTCTCTAAAACCCTTTAAACCCTTCCAATCCCTCAAAAATATCCTTTAAAATAGTACAAAACCCTCTAAAATACTTCAAAAAACTTAAAAACCCTTTAAAATCCTTTAAAATCCTTTAAAATAGTACAAAACTCTCTAAAACCCTTTAAACCCTTCCAATCCCTCAAAAATATCCTTTAAAATAGTTCAAAACTCTCTAAAACCCTTCAAAAACTTTCAAAATCCTTTAAAATCTTCAAAAATCCTTCCAAACCCTTTTTTCCAATCCCTCAAAAATATCCTTTAAAATAGTTCAAAACTCTCTAAAACCCTTCAAAAACCTTCAAAATCCTTTAAAATCCTTCCAAACCCTTTAAAATATTTCAAAACAAGTCCCATTTTCCCCCTCCCCAATAAAACAAATCCCATTTTCCCTCTCCCCAATAAAACAAATCCCATTTTTTCCTCCATCCCATATAAAACAAATCCCATTTTTATTTTCCACCCCTATAAACCAAATCCCATTTTTTCCCTTTTTCCTTTCCCCTCCGCTGTCCCCTGCCCTTATCCCCCCGATATTTGCATTCCCACCTCATTTAGTCTCGGGATTAATGAGCTGTTTACCCGGCTTAGATAAAACCGGGCCTAAACCCCGGCCTAACCCCAAACCCCCATTTATCACCCTGGCCTTTGTCTGGGGCCACTTTGGGGGAATTCCTCGGGAATTTTTGTCCCTCCCCAGGAAAATCCCAGGATTTTCCTGGCCCTGGGGTGGATTTGTTCATTCTTAATTAATTTTTACATTTTTTTAAGCTCTGTTTAATTTTTTTTTTTAGTTTTTTTGCCTCAAAGTTTCACCCCTCCCTGAGTTTCTGCTCCAGGGAAATCGAGGATTTGATCAAATTTGGGAATTTCTTAGGATGGCAATTCCTGAAAAATTCCATTTGGTTTGAGGGAAAAAATTCCCTCATCCCACCCAGCCTGGGAAAATCTTGGGAAAAAAAACCCAGAAAATGGAAGATTTTTGTTTGGTTTTTGGATTAGAGTTGGGATAAATGGATCAAAACCCCGATCCCAGTCCCAGCCCCAATCCCTGACCCCGACCCTGGTTCAGCAGCCAAGGCCAGAAAAAAAAATCCCTGGGATGGGATCAGGGCTGGGTCAAGTTTAGGATCGGCTTTTCCTTCCCATCCCCCTTTTCCTTCCCGACCCTTTTCCTGCTTTTCCCTTCCACCATCCCTTAAAAAGCAGCCACAAAAATCCCATTTAAAATCCCATTTAAAATCCTATTTTCCAGAGAACTTTGGGCATCTTTTATTTTAAAATATTTTTATATAATATCCCAGATTTTCTGCTTTTCCCTTCCATCATCCCTTAAAAACAGCCACAAAAATCCCATTTTCCAGGGAATTTTGGGCATCTTTTTTTTTTCAATGTATTTTATATTATAGCTCATATTTTCTGCTTTTTTCCTCCAGCATCCCTTAAAAAGCAGCCACAAAAATCCCCTTTTCCAGGGAATTTTGGGCACTGTTTCTTTTTAAATATTTTAAAATAATATCCCAGATTTTCTGCTTTTCCCTTCTATCTTCCCTTCTTCCAGGGAAATTTGAATCCCCTTAAAAAAAAAATCTAAATAATGTCCCGGATTTTCTGCTTTTCCCCTTTACCATCCCTTCTTC